TGCAGGTGAATTTTGGAGGATAAAAATTCAGTGTTATAAATTCAATGTCTAAAAATACTTGAATTCTGATGACACTATATTTCTTCCATAAAATTCCATTGTTTTCATTCACATTCCGTTGTTTTTATTCTAATTCTGTTGTGTTCCAAAATTCCGTTGTTTTCATTCTAATTCCGTTGTGTTCATTCAAATTCTGTTGTTTTTATTCAAATGCTGTTTTTCCTTATTCTAATTCTACTCCTTTTATTCAAATTCTGTTGTTTTCATTCAAATGCTGTTCTTTTCATTCTAATTCTACTCGTTTTAATCAAATTCTATTGTTTTCATTTAAATTGTGTTGTTTTCATTCAAATTCCGTTGTTTTTATTCTAATTCTGTTGTTTGTTCCAAAATTCCATTGTTTTCATTCAAATTCCATTGTTTTCATTTAAATTCTGTTGTTTTCATTTAAATTCTGTTGTTTTCATTCAAATTCTGTTGTTTATATTCAAACTGTATTGCTTGTTCTCAAATTCCATTGTTCCATATTTCCTTGAGTCATCGGGATATGTTATGGTTTCCTCACTGGGTGTTTTTGGCAGACCCAGCCGTCTCCAGTAAGTAATTTCTGATGTGCCAGCAGATTTAATAGAGTGTAAAAACTTTCTTGCTTTCTGTCTCTATTAATAAGACCCATAATATCAGACCAAATATTACCCCTCCTCCTTCCTCTCTGGGCCCATGCCTAAACCGTCCACTACTCTTAGACAAAATAAGTAATCTGTCTGAAGTGGCTCGTAAAGTGAAACTACCCTCTAGCCAACTTGACATTTTATGAACCTCACTATTCAAAAAGGTCTTTCACACCATGTGTTCTTAAGGTAATGAATAATTGCTTTGTTGCTACATATTTCAAACAGGTTATTATTTACCCTCTTTTAAAAAAGCCCAATGCTAACCCCTCCACTTGAGAATTATAGGCCAATTTCAAAACTCCCTTTTATTCCAAAAATCTGAAAAAGTGGTGGCCAACCAGCTAACAGACGTTTGAACTGCATAATTTCAGTCTGAGTTTTGCCAGATGCACTCCACCAAAACAGCTCTTCGTAGAGTATCAAATTATATTCTAATGGCTGATGATCAATTTTGATGAATTCGGAACATGTAAAGACAACACCAAGAAGCTCTTCCTCGATCTGCGCATAGCGCATCTCAGTCTGTGCCAGAGTACGAGAGGAGTAGGCAATTGGGACACCTTCCTGAAGGCATGCAGCTCCAAGTCCGTACTGTGACGTCCAGAAACCCATCACTTGCATGTGATGGGTTTCTGGACGTCACAGTACGGACTTGGAGCTGAGAGTGGATGGACTGGTTAGGCTGTTTTTTTGTTTTGTTTTGTTTTGTTTTTTTTTTAAAGCAAATGCATCTTGAAGCTGCTTTAGCCAGTGCCACTGTATGTATTTTCATGTTAGCTCGCAAAGTGGGATTGAGAGCTAACTGAAATTGGGAATGAACTTTCCTAAATAATTAATCATCCATAAGAAGCGTTGGGGGGCTGTGACGTTTTCTGGTGTGGGTATCTCATTAATTGCTTTGGTCTTAGCGGGATCGGGCTTTAAGCCCTTGCTTGTGAATAAATGTCCAACATAACAGACTTCTCTGAGGTGGAATTTGCACTTTAGGGGGTTAAGTCTCAGTTTGACTTCCCTCACATGGTCAAGTACCTTTCTGAGATTATGTTCATGCTCTTTCATATCTCTTCCACCAATGATTATGTCATCGATGATAACAGCATAGGGGTGTCCTGCAAAGACCTGCTCCATTGCATGCTGGAACACCTCGCTGGCTGAGTTGATTTCATATGCCATTCTGCCAAATGGAGAGCTGAAAGTTGTGAGCATGGATAACATGTGGTCAAGTGTTATCTGCCAAAAGGAGCATTTCACATCCAGGACAGAAAAGACTGTGGAGTTAGGCATTTGTGCAGCTACCTCCTCTATGGTACATATAGGGTGTTGCGGGCATTTCAGAGCTTTATTTAGATCACTTGGATCTATGCAGAGTCTGATGTCATCTGAAGTTTTCTTGTGGGTTGCCACCATAGATAACACCCTTTCTGTTGGCCAGTGACAGGACCGATCACACGGAGATTGACCATCTAGATTAATTCTGCTTTAACCTTGCATTACGCCCCCCTTGAGGGCAGGAGGAGGTAACACAGTGTAACACTAATGTGTCTCCAAATGCTTAGATCAAAATGTACCTCACCCAAATTTGATGCAAAAGGGCTCACGGCTTTGGACTAGTAGGTTCGGCTATGTACAGGAAAGGCAAAATGAATGAGACTCAGGCAACTGTGAGTTTTGAAAACGCCAGCTTGTGTACTTTTACTCATTCAGAAAAAAAGAAAATTAATGACAAACATACAAAAACATTTCAAATGAAAGTATCCCTTTTTGGTACCAGTTTTTCCTCAAAGAGAACCATGTGGTACAATCACAGTAATCACTGCCCGTAAGTCCAGGGGGATGTGTTTGAAGAAGGGGAATAGTAGGTTCAAAGTGGCGGTTTTTTTGTTGCAGCTGGCCTACCACACACTATGCAGCACAGGAAAAAGTCAATTGGTCAACAGGATTGGCTCGCCATCGATTACAGGATCCGTTGCAATGCATCGAAAGGAAGAACATAAAGGAAAAAAACCTGACCTGTCAACAACAGTGTTATAGGACATTAATGTGTAGAGACATGAATGAATATTCTTTTCTCTCCTTAAAGACCGTAATTATGTTATAAAGAACTGAATGACAGCAAAATATCGGTCTTTGAATTAATAAAAAACACATGAAGTTCTGATCTGTGCACCTGACAACTTTGTTCCCATAGCAACTAAAAATCTTGGACCACTCTCATGTTCAGTTTCCTCCACTTTGAGAAATCTGGGTGTTACCTTTGATCAGGTGTTCAACTTGGAAAAGCATGTTGACTGTCCTGTCCAAAGTTATTTTCATCATCTGCAGATCATTGCCCGTTGAATGAAATGAAAAATGATTATACATGATTTAAGTTCATCCTGCCTTGACTATTGTCATTTGTTATTTCTCTGCTTGAGCAAATCATCCCTGAATCACCTACAGATCGTCCAGAATGCCCCTGTGAGGCTTATCGGCAAGTTAAGCAGCTTAACCTCTCTCTAAAAGGTTCTATGTGACACCAATTTTGTCTCTTTATGCTATTTTATTTGGTGCATACCCATTTCTGTATTGTAAAACACTTTGTGAATTTTGTTATTGAAAAGCGCTATATAAATAAACCGTAATTACTTACTTACTTATTTAACTTAAAAAGAAATGCTAATTTTTTTGTGTGTTCTGTGTTGGCTTCTCTCTGGCACCAGCACAGTCAAGAGTTACCTAAAACAAAAATATTATTAGTATTGTTATTGTTGCTGTTTTTGTTGTATATTCACTATTCTATACAATTCAATTCAAGCTAGTGAAACCCTAAAGACACAGCAAGTGAATACTGTGACTATAAACTCTGGAGCACCCACAATTTTGTGGGGATGTACAATGACAATGAATGGCCGTTCTATTCTATTCTATTTCCCAATGGTTGATTCTGTTCATTTGGACGTAGCGTTTTCAATGGGAGAAACGTTTGGTCACTCATCCAAGTGACTTCTTCAGTCTCAGCTGGCTGCAGGTTTCCCCGACCTTATAAACAATACATTTGCACAATAACTGAAACTAGCCCAGTGAATGAACCCTTGATCATTAATATGCAAATTGTGCCATTCCCCAACTCTTTGTGGATGTCACTCATGACCATTGATAAGTGGCCTTTGATCAATGGTCAGTGGTCTATGATCAGTGGTTGTTGATCAATGGACAAAATTTACACAAAATGTTTCTCCCATTGAAAATGCTACGTCCAGATGAACAGAATCAACCTTTTGGGATTTACTTACCGGGATGATTGAGCATGCATCAAGACATTCTATTCTATTTTATGTATACAGTGGTCCCTTGTTTATCGCGGTAGTTACGTTCTAAAAATAACCCGCGATAGGTGAAATAGATGTTTTAAGACTGTAAAACCCCTCACTACACACTTTATACACTTTTCTCAGACAGGCATGACCATTTTCACACTTTTCTCTCTTGTTTAAACACCCTCACAGTTGAAACCTTGGTAGAAAAATAAGTCCAGTATTATAGAATGAAACCAAAGGCACCCACAGTGCCTTTGCCTTCACAGCCTTTGACGGTGCAAAACGTTTCATCGACATTGTTGTGTTTGTTGGGGAGAAAACAAACATACAATAATGCACTTCAGAGTCACACTGCTTTACACAGATTTATGTTAATTGGACAAGCTGAACTCATTCTGTACTGTACAAGACCACTGCACGAGATTGATTGACAATGATCTACAGCCAATCAGGACGCAGAACACAATGCGCTGTAAAAAATAAAATAAAATAAATCATGTCTGTGAAGGTTCTCAGTCATCCAGGTCATCGTAGTCCTTTGAAAATAAATCATGCAAAATTGCTCACAAAAAAAAAATCCGCGAAAGGTGAATCGCGGGGGACCACTGTATAATATTGCAATTACATGTTATTTCCCCGCAACTGCTGGTGGCGCTGTTTTCGTGTTTGGAAACTGTAGTAAGAGTCTGAGAAGAAGAAGGAGCGTGCCATCGCGGAGCTGTTTCCGGTGCTACGTGTAAACAAAGCCTGTTAGCGGCTCCGTTAGCGGCTTCGTGAGGACGGACCGGCGGAAATCAGAATCCGCGGATTCGGTTACGAGAAAGTGGGTGATGGAGTGAGCAGAGCCGGCGGGATGTCCATGGAAGACCCGTTCTTCGTCGTCAAAGGGTCAGAACTGCGTCGCTAACACAGAGCTAGCAGCTAACATTAGCCTGCGGACAGGTGATAGCTGATCCATAATCGATCTGATCATCGATCTGTTTCCGTCAATAGTGAGACCGACGTGCGAGCCGGAGCAGATTCACGGCAGCTAACGTGCTAACGTTAACATAAACGTGTCTTCACAGTTAGTTTATTAGCATGTTAGCCTGTTAGCTTTGTGTGGGTTTTTTTTTTTATCAGATTAAAGTTTTAGGAGGTGTTTTAGACCGTGTGTGTGTGTACCACGATGATGATGATGAGAAAGAGTTAGAGACTCTATTTAGAGCAAATTTACCAGCTTCTGTTTGGAGCAGGTGGAATGAAGCTGAAACAGAAACAATTAAAATAATATAATAATAACATTTGGATAGGCGACAGAGAATGAATGAGTGAGTGGATGAATAACAATAATATTGTTATTAATAGTAATGATGACATTTCCAGATAGGTGTCTGTTTATCAGAGAGTCACAGACCTGTATGTTGTGGAGGTGAAGCAGTTTGTGCAGCAGGTGGTGCAGAGCGAGGTCAGGATGATCCGTGATGGAGAACACTTTGTGCACTGGCTTCGTTTCCACCACAGCTTTATAGTGTCTGCAGCCAATCACAGAACGCTCTCCTGATCACTTTCTATGGTCTCTTGGTGTCGCCAACTTTTATGATGCTCCTCCTCAGTGATCTGTGAGGGGTGGGGTGTGTGTTCTCTCACGATGTTCCCAATGAATCCCAAAGTGAACTGTGTCTCCTTGAACGTATAAACCACCACACAGCAGCAACTGTATCGTGTTAAATGAAAGTGACCCCCATGATGATTGTATAATACACTGTGCAAACTTCAGAGGCTTGAGACGTTTTCACCTCTGATCTCAGGCTTCTGATTTCAGCCTGTTTGAACGTTACAGATGAGATGTTTGATTTTATTGATCAGTGATTTATCAGTGAATTAACCTGCTTACAGGTGTAACATTACTTCACCCTAATAGGTTCATTTCTATAAGTAGCTTTTCTAATGATTACAACTTGATATTAAAGTATGGGTCTGTTTGTATGAATGTTTCATGTTGTGATCAATCTGTTAGTTATCAATATTTTCTCACCTGAATTTGTTCAGATTTAGACTCATTTTGTTTTGACATAATCAGTTCCTTCACATCTTTTTCATATTTTGCGTGGAGAAAGGGGGACATGGCAGAGTACAGATAGTGAGCCATGTGATTTTAAAAACATTTTGATTCCTTGGCTCTGTAGAAGAACAACCGGGTGGCTGTGCAGATTTGACTGAAATTGTTGCTGGACATTTCAACACTGATCAATAAACGATCAATAAAGTTGACCCTCCAGTTTTGTATTTATTTAGTTTTCCAGTTACCTTACGTCACATGAAAACACCCTGCAGCAGATAGACCTGGTTCTGTTTCTGTTTTGTGCTATTAAGGTTCCTCTGAAGCTCAACTTCACCTGTTTGTTTTTTTGTTTTTGTTTTGTTTTTTTAGCGAGGTGCAGAAAGCAGTCAATGCTGCTCAGAGCCTCCATCATAGATGGAGCGAACTGATGGTGGAGGGAGGCGGAGCCTCCAAGGAGGAGATAGACTGGACGACCAATGAGCTGAGGAACAGCCTGCGCTCCATCGAGTGGGACCTAGAGGACCTTGACGAGACAATCAATATCCTTCAAATGTGAAGCCAGCAGAAACACGCACAGGTGTATATACAGGTGTACTGGAAAGGTAAATACAGTTTTATGATTAGAGCATCTGAGATTGGCTGATTCGTTCAGCTGTGGAAAAAGAAAGAATGAAGAAGAAGAGGGGATGTGTATCACCTCAAAACCCTGGACAGTGAAGACAGTTTTGTTTGTAAATCCTCACATAGACCTGGTGCACAAGGTGAGATGGAGCAATTTGATTGGTTCATAAATGGTTAGAGTCAGTTTGATGACAATTTAATGAAGAAGAGCAGGGTTAACAGACTCCTCCCCTCCCACTGCATCTGAAGCTGCTGATTGACACCCGTTTCCTCGTCCATGCTGAGAGCAGATCAATCAATTAGTAATCATTAATTACATATTTACAAACACGTAAATTGGCTCCAATCAATCACTGATTGTGAAGACAGAGTAAGTGATCGTGTTGAATTTATTAGAACAGGTCCCTCTTCTATGGAACCAGCTTCTAGTTTGGATTCAGGAGACAGACACTATTTCTACTTTTAAGATTAGGATTAGGCTTCCAACTTTTCTTTTTGCTTCTCTGGCTCTGTTCCACAGCATGGTTCTGTCTTCATCCCCTCATCCCTAACTGATCTCTCAGAAGGCCACCCCTCACTGAGCATGGTTCTGCTGGAGGTTTCCTTCTGTTAAAAGAAAGAAACCTCCACCTTTCTACTGTCGCCAAGTGCGTGCACATAGGTCATCTGATTGTTGTTATTTTTTTCAGTTTTCCCGGGCCTTTACCTAACCTAACACTATAAAGCAACTGTTGTTGTGATTTTTCGTCATTAACTTCAGCTAATATATTAAAATGTGTTTCTTATTTTGTTAAATATGCTCTCTGAGCTGAACTAGGTTTTACTTTCATCTTTAACATGCATTAGGGGGCTACATGCCACCCCTGAGTTGAGGTCACGTCACCAACATTGTCATTATGTAACATGTTTTATATGAAAATAAGATAATTCTTCTTAACGGTGAGTTTACGTATTGTCGAGTCGAACCCAAAGAAGTTCAACCTGGATGCTGCCGAGCTGTCGAAGAGGAAGGCCTTCATCAACAGCATGCGGGTTGCCGTCAAGGTAACTTTATTGACAACAGGAGATCAATGGCTCAGACAGAAGGACCCAGTCATATTCTAATAATTTACAAGGTAGATCGTTCAGGTGATTAATTACCTGAGATGTCCAGAATTGATTGATTTGATTTGCTGCTGTGTTTGTTTTGCAGGAAATGAAAGCTCAGATGTCGATTCCACCTGCTGCTTCTGACCGAAAGAACAAACAGGTAACTGTCACACCTGCCTACGGGTGATCCATTACCCGAGACTGCAGGACCTTCAGGGCCCCACAAGATCTCAGTTGGATCCTCTTGGGGTCCTCCTGTATACCCGGTCTTGGCGCACGTGTAACTGTTGTTGTGACCTTCAGGCTCTGCTGGGTGAACGTGGCGCTCAGGGCCCTATATGGCAGCCTGGTGCAGATAAGTACAGCCGACTGGACCACCAGCTACAGAACGCTAACTCTCAGATCATTGAGGAACAGCAGGTCCAGCAGCAGGTACAAGAACACCTGAGAAACCTAAACAAGCTTTCCACCTTTACAATGCCGCTAAAGTGTTTCCTGTCTCTGATAGCTGATTGCGGAGCAGCAGGATGAGCAGCTGGAACTTGTGTCGGGAACCATCGGAGTCCTGAAGAACATGTCGGAGCGAATCGGCATGGAGCTGGATGAGCAGGCCGTGTAAGAACCGAGTGTAGTAAGAGGGGTGGGTGGGAACGTCATGTGACTACAAAATGTCAGAGTGATAAAGGTGATTCGGTAAACTAAAGTTCCTGTGATCCCCAGGTCCGTGCTTTCTCAAAGGCATTATGTTTGTTTTTGTTGTTGTGTTTTTTATGTGACGATTAAAGGTCACTTCCTGTTCTTGCTCCTCACCATAGCGGCTCATTGTCTGATCTTTTGTATATGAAAAACCTTCAGACAGCTTTTAGTTTCTGATATAGTAATTTCCAAATAAAATTTAATTGAACTGGAACTTGCCTGTAATAAGCAAAGAGGTGAGGGGGAGAGGAAGCACCTGTCAGAGACTTACTGATGTCCTTCCTGCAGGATGTTGGATGACTTTGGCCATGAAATGGACAACACTCAGTCCAAACTGGACAACGTGATGAAGAAGCTCGCCAAGGTGTCCCACATGACCAGCGGTAATCTGCCCAACAACACATGAAACAAGATATGAGTTAACTCAGAGGGGTGGGCAGGGTTTTAGATGTTCAGAGCTGATGAATCAGAAATGATCAATTAGGGCAGGAAATTTTGTAGCTTTAAGCTGATTTGGATTTATTGATGATGATGATGGAAGCATTGATCTTGCTGTAGTTCTTCCCTCTGCGAATTGAACTGAGCTGGAGTCAGTGTGACTACCTGTATTGATGAGGTGCACTCACCTGTACTCATCTCATTAACTCTGTGTGTTTGCAGATCGTCGTCAGTGGTGTGCCATCGGCGTGCTGCTTACCATCCTCTTCATCATCGTTCTCCTTTTCTTTATACTCTGATCAATGCCTCCACCTATCGACATGAAATCTTAATCCCGTTTACTGGACTCCATTTATACTCTACTGAACATTCTTTGGACTATGCTGAACTTTATTTAGACTCTAATGGACTCTTCCTGCTGATCGGGAGTGAACAGCACTTTTGGTTCCTTGAGTGTTTAACTGTTAGAACCACCTCAGAGGTCAAAGGTCATGTTTGGTGTGGTTTTGATTGGTTGTTCTTTTTATTTAAAACTGAAAATAACAAGTTTCACTCGAGTTTAATGTGGACTTATTCTGCTCCTTTGCACAGTAGCTTCGCGTGAGTCACAGCTCAAAGTAATCCTTCTTTCATTTGATACTAGGCCTTGGTGCAGCCCCTCAATTTATCCTCCAACGCTTCAAGATAGTCTTATTGGCTGCCCCTCATAAACAGAAGGTATGAACAGCAGGTGGGTGGGGCATCTATCCTCTCTCTGTGGTATCTTCCAGATTCAAGAGTAGAAAAAATGTTGAGAGCAGTCTGAGCTCTTGGCTCACAGGGAAAACTATATCCTCCTGAGAACCAAGGAAAAAGGAATCTTTTTGTGATTTCCTTCCTTTTTGGAGCTAAAAGAGGCCACCCAGACACATGAGATCTCAATGGAAAGCCCAGGATGTCCTCTATTTAGTACGTCAGGACTTAGTAGGGTAGAACAAATAATTCAAAACATATAGACCAAAAGCAAATGTCCATTAGAGAGGAAATGATGAATAGGCTGGTTCTCAGGAGGGTATGCACTGTGACCTAATTATTAGAAACTTTAATACAAACATCCGTCACAGGAGCAGGAGACACATGACAGGAAGTGAGGAGAGCAGGTCCACTTTAAAGACACTTTTATCCAGTTGTGTTGAATACT